TCCATGCAATTTCAAAAGAAGAGATGTTTTTGAGTTCGTTGAGGTGTTGGCGACGGGCTTTACTACGGGACTTCACAGCCTCCGCCGAAAACTCCTCCAACTTTGATCTCGACGCCTTCTTGGAACTCTCCTTTTTGTCATTGTCTTTGCCTTCGTTCTCGTTTTCTTTCCGTTGCTGTTGCTCCCACTGCATCTGTTTCTTCTTCTTCTTCGTCCACTCCTCGTACGCGTCATCTTCCCTCTTGAAGAAAGCGGTGTCATCATCGCGCCCGTCTCCGTGTGGCCACAGCCCCACAACAGAAGAAGACGAAGTCGCGGAGGAGTGTAACTTGCCAGACGTCAGCAGAACCACTTCACCCGTGGTGGGGTCCGTCAGCGTCACGGTGTCGGCCATCGCTGGCGACCGCAGTGCGCAGAAAAGTGTAGAGATGAAAAGAAAGAGGAGTCGTCGCCATGGCGCACGGCTGACAGAAGACATGTTTTTCTCCGCCCTCCCCCCCCCCCCAAAAAAAAAACAAAAACAAAATAAAAATATCCTTCTGCGACAAGAAAGCAAGAAACATAGAAAAAAAAGAAAAGGGATACCGCAAATGACATGGCTTGAGCCTACTTCCAGCGGAATTGGATAACTCAATATCAGGCAAAAGGAGGAATCAACAGGAACAAAACAGCCCTTTCCATTCTTGGTCTCTCTTTCTCTCTCTCTCTCTCTCTCTCTCTCTCTCTCTCTTGGTATCGGTTCCTGTAGTGGGATCCAATTGAAAACAAAAGGCAAAAAAAACAAAAACAGGATTGGAGGCACACCAGCGAGAACGTGGCACAGGGGTACTCGCATCATCATTTCCCCCCCACACATTCCAGGCTGACCCTGGCGACACTCAAGAAGCTACGAAAAGGCCAATGGAGGAGACGCAACAGCGGCAAACAGTAGCCAAGTTGTGCGCACCAACCAACATCCACACAAATAAATATCCATTCGTCACGCAACACCGAAAAACTGTTCCAGCCAAATTTTGGTCCTGGCATACCATCTGAGCATACGCGCGGCATAATACGTTCCCGTGACACGATGCAAGCGCTTGTTGTAATACGCGCCCTCGCCGACTCCTGGCAGGGGAATCTCTTCCACTCCCTCATTGAAAAATCGTCTCCACGGTTCCACCAAGTACTTACGATAATTCTTCTTCGCGTCCTCTTGATTGGCATCAGCAGCATCTGAGCCACTTCTGCTGCTAGAGCCAAGGGCATCAAGAGAAAGGTCATAGTACTGTGCCTGTGCCTTCGCCAACTCGACAAGCAGATCCAGAAGCAACAGCTCAGCAGCCTTAGCACTGAGGCCAGCAAATGGTGAAATACCCGTGGTTTGCACATATTGCAGAAGGCCCTGTAGGCAGCGAAGACTCCCTACAGGGAAATACATCCCCTCGTACGGCTTCCGTGGCATAAAAGAGCGTCCCTTACGTACAGCGGTCTCAATCAACACCCCACTACATAATGCCATGGTGCGAATAATTTCCTGATTGATCTCTGGAAAAACCGTGCAATTTGAATGCGCTGTTACACAACCGCTTGACATGGCATATTTTTGCCGAGTCTTTACAAGCTTGAGGGCAATTTGAGCAAAAAGTTCCAACCTCGAGTCGGGCAAGGCATAGTAAAAAGGAATACGCGAATCAGCGGCAAAGATAGGACCCCGCCCTCTCGTCTTTGGCTTCGCATGATGCCACTGGGCCGCCTTGTGCTCCTCCATCCACACGTTTACCAGGCTTTCTCCCCATACATGCTCCGAGATGAAGAGTGCGAAGCTACGCAAGTGC